TGCCCATCATTAAAAACAATAACTTGAGGCACAGAGAGGTAAATGCCTGGAAAAAGAACAGGTGATCAAATAAGTTTCAAGTTGTAAACTTTGAATCCAAATTCTACTCAGTAACCTGATGGTAAAAAGGACTTCCAGCTCTCAAATTTCCTAAACTGCATAATGTAGAGAATTTGGGAGCATGGCATCAACTTGATTTGTTTTGTTGCATAGAAGGCTATCCAGGGGCACCTGGTTGGTTCAGTCGGTAGAGCATTGTACTCTTGATTCCTGCTCAGGTCATGATCTCATGATTCCTGGTATGGAGCCCCATGTTGGGCTCTGTGCTAGCAGCACAGAGACTGCTTGGGAATTCTCTCTCTCTCTCTCTCTCTCTCTCTCTGTCTCTGCCTCTCCCCTGCTCACACTCACTCTCTCAGAATAAAAAATATAAACAGTACAAAAAAATTAAAAAAAAAAAAGATATCCAACTTGGGGTTGAGAATTCCACATTAGGATCTACAGGCCTTTTCCTTCCTTCTCTTTCTGCCTTTCCTGCCTAGTAGCCTTAAGTCTACCTTCAATTTTCTGCCAACAGCACCCCTTACCTCTGTGCTTTAGGAAGGCAGTTCTAAATAGTTGGTGATGGTTACCATGGTAACAGACACTTAAGTTTCAGCTTCAAGTACCCCTTTTAATGAGGCAATTTTAAGAATATTCATGATAACTTACCAGACCACAAACTTAACTGTGGGAAGTTTTGTTTTTGGAAAACCTAATAAGAAGAAAGCAGAAAGAATGAGCAGCAAGTGCAATAGAGAAAATGGGGCCAGACTTGGAGGGGTGAATGGAAGGAATGCCAGCTCTGCTTACCACAAGCCAAATCTGAATCAATTCACACCAGAGCTTTAAATTATAGATGGTCGTTGAAGGGCTACAACCAGATGGAGCCAAGATTCCTTGGGAGGAAGAATGGTAGAGTGAGGGGTGGAGAGGGCAAGCGTTGAGTGGGTCCTACAGAAGGCTATGCATTTTAAAGAGCTTCCGTTTTCTATTTTATTGCTGACTGTGATGGCCAAATGTAAGCAACAGTCTTCCTTTTGTTTCTCCATTTCTCCATTTATGAAACCAAGAAACACAGCAATCTGGAGAGAACGCAATTGACTAGAATGTGAAATTTGGCATAAGTGAATTTTGTAGCAACCTAGGTTATCCACAAACCCCAAAGACATAGCAGTCCTGATAATGTTCCAGGATTCTGTTCTTAATCTCTTATCTGTTCTACTCACTAAAAATTCACATAAAAATACAAAGACTTACAATACTTTCCTAAACTCTTACATGGAAAGAAACGTAATTACCCAAAGGAAGATATGTCAATGATACTTGTTATGATTTAATATAAAAGTGTGCCTCATCTAGAGAAGATAGTTTAATTTTATACCTGGTCAGAGGAAAACAAGCAGATAGCCTAAAAGAGCTTTTACAGACACTTTTAAGTTTCTGGCTGGGTTCCTTAGGTCCCTACAGGAACGTTTTACTCTTGCTGCTCACAGAAAGCACCAGGGAACAGATGCATTACAGTTTGTGACAGGAGAACAGCCTGTGGATTCCGCCTACTCCCTCCAGTCCATCTGGGAGGTGGGTGAGACAGGGAGCCCACAGAGAGGGGGGCTCTCCTGGGAATCCCTTTGGGGTATCATGGCTATTGGTGCTTTATTTTCAGTAGATGGCACTGTGTCTATTGAGATAAGCAAAAGGGGAATCTAGATGGGAAATCTAATTATTTCTGGAGAAAGCACACTGCATGTAAGAATGCATTTTTTTTCTACTTAGTAACATGATAACACAAATGCTACTCAGTATTCATGTTAGCACCCTCTTTGTAGCTTAAGGAACTTTATGATTTATTATTCTGGCTGAGATGCAGGGCTGTGGTGGAGTCCAGGGCCATTGTATGAAGGATATAGTTGGGATAAGAATAAATCACGCTGAATGTTCACTCACTTTATCACCCAAACACACATATCAGCACCTGTACTCCATCTGTGCCCTGAGTTCCCACCTTTTACCCCAAAAAGGAAATTCTGACATCTCAGTTTCTACCCAGTACACAGGAATCTTTACACCTCCAGAGCCAAGGACCAGAACAGTTTCTTATACATTAGTGATCCTGTGTGGCAGATACTATTACTTACCCATTAGCCATTTTCCTTTATAATACACAGTCAGTTATTTTATTGTCTCTTCTGAGTGCTTTCAGAAAAGTAGACCCCAGCACCAGAAGACAAATCAAGTTTATTTTAAGCCAGTCATGTTGTGGTTTTTAATTTATTAATTTATAAATTTTTATTTAATTTTTAGAGAGAGTGAGAGAGAGAGCATGAGTGTGGGGAGAAGGGCAGGGGGAAATAGAAGTATCCTAAGCAGGCTCCATGCTCAGTGTGGATCCCAATGAGGGGCTTGATCGCATGACCCTGGGATGAATGCCTGAGCCAAAATCAAGAGTCGGATGCTCAATTGACTGAGTAACTCAGGAGCCCCAGTCATTTATGGTCTTTTAAATGGGAAGAAATCTCAAGTTTGCTTTTTAGAAAATAAACTCGAAACACAGATTGGGGGATGAAATAGAAGAAAAAAAGGCTTTCTTCTATTTCTAAAGTGGGCCAAAGTGCTATGAACTTAATAGAATACTCTCTTTTATTCCTTACAATAATCTTAAGACAGGTACTATGCTACCCATTTTATAGATGTGAAACTGAAGCTTAGAAAGTATAAATAATCTATGTAAAATCACCCTTGGAATTGACTGAGCATATTTTGAGATTCTAATCATTAGAAGAATGGAAATCTGCTATGTGCCTTACAGGAAAGTAACATGCAAGGAGAAACCTCCCATTTCTGTCTGATGACATTACCTTCTGAATATAACCTCTGGGACTCCAGCAGTCATCTTGAGACAATTACAGGAGCCAACCTAAGAGAATGAGACAAAACTGAGGATGACAGTGCAAAATGCTGGAAAGAACCTGGGACCTTGATGATCCCACTGAGCTGTTGAATTCACCAGCCTTCAAACTTCAAATTTATATTTCAGCCACTTTGAAGTATATGTTCTGTTACTTGTGGCTCAAAACACAATATCCTAACTAATACAGTCTAAGACCCTAGCCATAGATGATTAGAAAAGGATTAGTGCTTGAGCTGAAAGCAGCCATCCATATCGTGAATGCCAAGGAGTCAGGATATGAGAGTTCACAGTCAGGGACTCTATAATGGATCATGTCTAATGAGACTAATCAGATCCTTTCTGGAAAAGTCTGAAAAAGATAACATTTTCTCTCATCTGCTTGGGAACCTTTCTCTAGAAGTTAACCCATCTCTTCTGTATATTCAATGTTTCCTGTGGAAAGGATCTCTTTACTGGATCACTGAGGAACCATAATTCTTAGTTTTTTCTTTTGTCATATAGGTTTATTAGTGTTGCTACTGTGGCATAGGGATGCACCCTCTTAAATACAATTTAAATTTCTCAAATAGAAAGCTAACAACACCTTTGTCAAATTCAGACTTTCTTATAAATACCACCCTAAATAGCTTTATCTCTTTCACAATCAACTCATTAAAATAGTTGCCTCCAGTTTCTGTCCTTCAAGTCATTCCTCAACCCATGGCAATTTACATCTGCAATACCTCAACAGGACATTGTCTCTTATAAGGATTACACAATAGTAATAAAATAGATTAACAATTGCTAAGTAACAAACTGAGCCCAAACTTAATCATTTTAAACAGCAGCCACCACTTATTATCTTTCATGATTCTGTGGGTTGACTAAGCTTGAGTGGATAACTTTTTTCTGCATGGCTTTGGCTGGAGCTGTGGTCATCTGGAAGCTTGACTGGACTAGAACATCCACTATGTCTCATTCACATGGCTGGCAGGTGGTGTTGGCTCTTGTTTGGGAGCGTCGCTGGAAATGAGTCCTTCTCTTGGCTCCTCCATATGTGGGCTTCCCACAGCATGAAAGCTGAGCTTGAAGAGGGAATGTTTTAAGTTTGTGAAAGTAGAAGCTGTCCAGTCTCAGAAGTTAAACAATCTCACTTCTACCATATTTTATTGGTCAATATAAGCTCTATACAGTCCAGATTCAAGAAAAGGGAAAATGATTTTATCTCTTGATGGGAGGCATAGCAAAGAATTTGCAGCTCCCTTTAATATATTGCTGTAATTAATGGTTTTCCTTATTGTTAACACCAATGAAAACAATACAGTGCTTATTTTACATGACATCTCAATTTTCTTGAAATATTCTCTTCTTTCAACTCCCACGACAATGCACTCTTCTAGTTTTCTGGCTACTTCTAGAGCTATTCTTGTTTTCTTGTGATGAATCCTCAAACTCAAAACATCACTATTTCTTAGGATTCCATCCTTGGTCTTTTCCTATCATCACTTCATACACTCTTATTGGACAGTCTAATAAACTCTCAAGACTTTCATTGCTATCTACACATTAATCACTCTCAAATCTTTACCCACAGCTCATATCTCTCACTTAAGTTTCAAACCCTAGACACCCCATCTTTACTGAACATCTCCTATTTTCATTTAAATATCCTACTAGCATCATAAATTTAAGAAAGTCTAAAATTGAACTCATTGTATTTTTTCCCAAAGCTCCTATTTCAATCTTATCTTTCTCTGTGAATAGCACCATAACTCTCTTAGTTACATGATACAGAGAATTAGTCATTTTGACTCTCCTTTTACTCAACTATACATCCAGTTGCCAAGGCTAGTTAATTTTATCTTCTAAACACCTTTCACATTTGTCAAGTTGTCTATGTTTCTTCTCCAGTAAACTAGTGCTAAACTCTAGAACAGACCACTGCCATCTTTTACCTGATATACTTCAACACTTTCTATCTGGTCTTCTCACCTCCAGACTGGCTTCCTCTTTAATTCATTTTTTCACACTGAAACCAGACTAGTTTTTAATGTCAATATTAGATCATGTCATGCTCAATTTGGCAGCATATATCCTAAAATTGGAACAAAACAAACAAGACTAGTATGGCCACTGTGCAAGAATAACTTATAAATGTGTGAAGTATTCCTTATATTTTCTGTGTTGATAGGCACACAGTCTATAAAGATGCAATTTACATGACAATAACAGCACAAACGACGGGAGAGGATGAAGTCCTATAGGAGCAAAGTTTTTGCATACTATTACAATGAAGTTGGTATTAATCTAAACTAGATTGTTATGAATTAAGATGATAATTGAACTCTCATAGCAACCACTAAGAAAATGACTCAAAAAACACAGTAAGAGAAATAATGACATTAAAATAGTTCACTAGCAAATATCCTTTTAAAACAAAAGTAGTCAGTAATAAAGGATAAAAACATACATTTAGAAAACAAATAGAAAAATGGCAAATGTAAGCATGACCTTATGAGTAATTTCATTATATGAAAATGGATTGAATTAAAGAGCAAAGATTTGCAGGATAGCTTAAAACAAAACAAAACAAAACAAAAAAAACAACAACCCCAAAACCCAACTATATGCTGTCTATTAGAGACACGCTATATTCAAAGATACAAAAAAGTTGAAAAGAAAAGTATGGGAAAAGATATACTAGTTAAACAATAACCAAAAGAGACCTAGAATGGCTATACTAATATCAGACAAAGTAGACTTTAAGACAAAAATTATTACTAGAGCCTAAGAAAGACATTTGATAATAACAGAATTAACTCATCAAGAAGATATAATATCTATAAACATATACACGCCAAATTCATAAAGCAAAAACTATCAAAATTGAAGAGAAAAATGGTCAATTCAACAACAATAGTTGGAGTTATCAATATCTTCCTTTCCATAATGGTAGAACAACTAGAGAAATATCATCAACCAAATAAAAAACTTGAACAACACTGTAATTCGACTAACAAAAACCTATAGAGCCTTCCATTCAACAACTGCAGAATACATATTCTTCTCAAGTAAAATGTGAAACATTTACCAAGATAGAACATATGTTAGACCCTAAAACAAGGGTCAATGAATTTTAAAAGACTGAAATCATATGAAGTATGCTCTCCAATCACAGTGAATGAGACTAGAAATTAATAACAGAAGGAAATTAAATAAATTTACAAATGGAAGTTAAACACAATCATAAAAATCGCAGGGTCAAAAAAGAAATCACAAAGGAAATTAGAAAATACTTTGAGGAAAAACAACATATTAAATCTTAGGGACAGAGTGAAAACAGTATATAGAGGGAACTTTATAACCATAATTGTCTATATTAAAAAAGAAAAAATCTAAAATCAGTAACTTAACATTCTACCTTAAGGAACTAGAAAAATAAAAGCAAAATAAATCCAAAACAAGCAGAAAGAGGGTAATAATATAGACTGGACTGAAAATAAATGAAATAGAGAATTGGGGCACCTGGTGGCTCAGTCGGTTAAGCCTCCGACTTCAGCTCAGGTCATGATCTCTTTGTTCAGTTGAAGCCCTACATTGAGCTCTGTGCTAACAGCATGGAACCCAGAGCCTGCTTTGGATTCTGTGTCTCCCTCTCTCTGTCCCTCTCCCACTTGCTCTCTCTCTCTCTCTTTCAAAATTAGATAAACAAAAAAATATATTTTTCAATGAAATAAAGAATGGAGAAACAATAGAGAAAATCAACAAAGTCAAAAGTTACTTCATTGGAAAGATTAACAAAATTGACAAATCTTTAGCTAGCCTAATCAAGCAAAGAAAGAGAGAGAACTGGGACACCTGGGTGGCTCAGTTGGTTAAGCATCCAACTTCAGCTCAGGTCATGATCCCGTGGTCCATGGGTTTGAGCTCCATGTTGGGCTTTGTGCTGATAGCTCAGAGCCTGGAGTCTGCCTCAGATTCTCTGTGTGTCTCTCTCTCCCTTTCTCCCCACTGCTCCCTCTCTGTCTCTCTCTCTCTCAAAAATAAATAAACACTAAAAAAACTTAAAAAAAATAATAAAGAAAGGAGACTAAAATTACTAAAATCACCAACAAAAGAAAAGGCATTACTACCAAACTCGCAGGAAAAGAAATATTATGAGGCATTGTGGACTAAATGTTTGTATCCCTCATAATTCATATATTGAAGTCCTAACACCCAATGTGATGGTATTTTAAAATGGGGCCTTGGGGAGGTAATTTGGCCTAGGTTAAGTCATGAGGGTGAGGCTCTCATAATGAGATTCATGACCGTAGAAGAAGAGAAAGAGGAGCACCCTGGTGGCTCAGTTAGTTAAGCCCCCAACTTCAGCTCAGATCATGATCTCGTGGTTCGGTGAGTTTGAGCCCCATGTCAGGCTCTGTGCAGACAGCTCAGCGCCTGGAGCCTGCCTCAGATCCTCTCTCTCTCTCTCTCTCTCTCTCTCTCTGCCCCTTCCCAACTCACACTCTGTGTTTCTCTCCCTCAGAAGTAAAGAAACTTTAAAATTTTTTTAAAAAGAGAAGAAGAGAAAGATTCTTCTCTCTCTCCCCCACCCAACCCTCATCCCAGGTGCATACACCCAGGAAAGTCCTTGTGAGGACAGTGAGAGAGTGGTGCTCTGTAAGCCAGGTAGAGAGCTCTCACCAGGAACCAAATTAGTTGGCAATTTGATCTTGGACTACCCCACCTCCAGAACTGTGAAAAATAAACTTCTATCATTAAAGCCACTCAGTCTATAGTATTTTATTATAGGAGCCTGAGCTAACTAAGACAGATTTTGGTACTGAGAAATAGAGTACCACTCTATTAGAGTAACAAGTATCCTAAACACGTGGAAGTGGCTTTGGAACTAGATGTGGATAAAGGGTGAAAGAGTTTTAAGGTGCATGCCAGAAATGTAGACATTAAGGGAGATTCTGGTAAGGGCTCAAAAATAAGAGGAAAGCTAAAAGAAAATTCCTTCTTAAAAAAAAAAAGACCTAAAGAATCATGAATAGACTTTGGTAGGAATATGGACATTAAAGGTCATTGGTGAAAGCTCAGATGGAAAAGCATGTTGTTGGAAACTGGAGAAAAAAAGATACTTGTTATAAAAGAGCAAAGAACTTGGTTGAATTGTGCTTATGTCCTAGTGTTTTGTGGAAGGTAGAACTTGTGAGTTATGGAATTAAATATTTAGTTTAAAAGATTTTTTTAATATATTTTATTTTATTCTTCTTGAAATATGTAGTCAACACTACGTAATGTTAGTTTCAGGTGTACAGCATAATGATTCGACAAGTCTATGTGTTATGCGATGCTCTTCACAAATGTGCCAACATACAACACAATTACCAAATCATTGGCTTTCATCCTCATGACTTTTTCATTCCATAACTGGAAGCCTATATCTCCCACTCCCCTTCACTTATTTTGCCCATCACCTACCCCCTCCCCCGGCAAGCATTAATTTGTTCTCTGTATTTATGGCTGTATTTCTGCTTTTCATTTGTTCAGTTATTCATTTGTTATGCTTTTTAGATTCCACATCTAAGTGAAATCATGGTATTTATCTTTCTCTGACTTATTTCATTTAGCGTAATACCCTCTAGGTCCAGCCACATTGTTGCAAATGGCAAGAGCTCATTTCTTTCTATGGTTGAGTAATATTCCATTGTTTATGTATACCATTTCTTTATCCATTTGTCTATCGATGGACACCTGGGTTGCTTCCATATTTTCACTATTGTGAATAATGCTGCAATAAACATAGAGATGTATATAATTTTCTAAATTGGTATTTTCATTTTCTTGGGTAGATACCTAGTGGTGGAATTACAGGATCATGTGGTATTTCCATTTTTAATTTTTGAGGAACCACTGTACTATTTTCCATGGTGGCTGCACCAGTTTGCATTCCTACCCACAGGAGTGAAGATCTCTTTTTCTCCATGTCATTGTTAACACTTGTTATTTCTTCTCTTCTTTATTTTAGCCATTCTGACAGGTGTAAGGTGATATCTCATTGTGGTTTTGACTTGCATTTCCCTGATGATGAGTGATGTTGATCATCTTTTCATGTGTCTGTTGGCCATTTGACATCCTTTGGGAAAATGTCTGTTTATGTCCTCTGCCCATTTTATTTATTTTTTAATGTTTATTTATTTATTTTGAGAGAGAGCATTCAAATGGGAGAGGGACAGAGGAAGAGAAAGAGAGAATCCCAAGCAGGCTCCATTCTGTCAGCTCAGAGCCCAATGCAGGACTTGATCCCAAGACCATGAGATCATGACCTGAGCCAAAATCAAAAGTCCTATGCTCAACCAAATGAGTTACCCAGATGCCCCAGTCCTCTGCCCATTTTAAATTGGACTATTTGGAATTTTTTTGTGTCATGCTATGTAAGTTCTTTACATATTTTTGGATAATAACCCTTTCTCAGATGTATCATTTACAAATGTCTTCTCCTATTTAGTAGGTAGCCTTTTCATTTTGTTAATGGTTTCCTTTGCAGTGTAAAAGCTGTTTATTTTAGTATAGTCCCAATAGTTAATTTTTGCTGTTGTTTCTCTTGCCTGAGGAGATATGTCTAGAATAATGTAGCTAAAGCAATATCAAAGAAATTACCGTCCATGTTTCCTTCCAGGACTTTTATGATTTCATGCCTCACATTTAGATCTTTGATCCATTTTGAGTTTATTTTTGTGTATGGTGTGAAAAAGTGGACAGTTTTATTCTTTTGCATGTAGCTGTCCAGTTTTCCCAGCACCATTTATGGAAGAGACTCTCTTTCCCCATGATATATTCTTACCTCCTTTGTCATGGATTGATTGACTATATAATCATGGATTTGTTTCCGGGCTCTCTATTCTGTTTAATTGATCTATATGTCTATTTTTGTGCCAGTGCCACACTGCTTGGTTACTGCAACTTTGTGGTGTATCTTAAAATCTGGAATTAGCTGAAAAGCTTTCAGAGCAAAGTTTTGAAGTGTCTTGGATCCTGACTGCTCATTTTAAAACCCAAAAAGAGAGAAATGAATTGAAGAAGGGATTGTTAAGCAAAAAGAAACCCAAACTTGAAGATTTGAAAGATTCTACACCCATCCATATTACAAAAAATTAGAACACATGTATTAAAGAGAACACTATGAGTGT